GTCACACACGTCTCTGGTCAAAAGTAGTGCATTTGGAGAGCAGACCCAGTTAACTCATACCTGCAGCAGTACATGAGTCCAAGCACAGTGGAATGTTCCATGACAAGGGGAGAGTTCTAGAACAACAAAAGCATATGGACTAGAGTGACTGATTCGGGCTGCGTCCCAAACGGAACCCTGTTCCCTGTAGACCAGGGCACCGGTCAAAACTAGTGCACGACATAGGGAACACGGCACCCGTCTGGGACGTAACCTGGGTCCTCACCTGGGTTTCCTGCGTACCTTTGAGACTGTGTTAGTCCTCTGAGCTAAAGACTAGGCCTAGCACAGAACACAACCATTGATTTAGTGGGGTGTAGTGGTATGACATTTAATCAGTCAGCACAAACGGGAAATAAAACAGACAGAAAGAAAAATCAAGTCAAATGCAATAAAAACTGGCTAATATTGATAACACTCATCAAGCAAACAACAAGGAAAGTATGATAATTGCAATGCATGAAAAATACGAATTATCTGGAACAAGTATCAATATATTTTACAATATGTAATATAATTTCTTGTATATTGTTCCATAGTCTTGGTTGTAAGATGTAAACTGCAGAGTGATACTGCCTAACCCACGAGAATTCTCTCTTTCACCAATAAATGCTTTATTAGCATGAATAGGTGGTTGCCACTGTTGCCAAAGCAATGTATATGAAGTATTACAAATGAACAATACGTATCAACAAATACAATTATACATGGAAAATAAACAGGCAACAACTGAGAAATTAAATCTGTAAGGGCTCATGTGTATGACATGGTGGGATCTACTGTCTATGTTATATTATAACAGACCAGGACATACTCTGGAGAAAGATCTACTGTCTATATTATATTATAACAGACCAGGACATACTCTGGAGAAAGATCTACTGTCTATATTATATTATAACAGACCAGGACATACTCTGGAGAAAGATCTACTGTCTATATTATATTATAACACCAGACCAGGATTCTATTTACGTCTGGAGAAAGATCTACTGTCTATATTATATTATAACAGACCAGGACATACTCTGGAGAAAGATCTACTGTCTATATTATATTATAACAGACCAGGACATACTCTGGAGAAAGATCTACTGTCTATATTATATTATAAACAGACCAGGACATACTCTGGAGAAAGATCTACTGTCTATATTATATTATAACAGACCAGGACATACTCTGGAGAAAGATCTACTGTCTATATTATATTATAACAGACCAGGACATACTCTGGAGAAAGATCTACTGTCTATATTATATTATAACAGACCAGGACATACTCTGGAGAAAGATCTACTGTCTATATTATATTATAACAGACCAGGACATACTCTGGAGAAAGATCTACTGTCTATATTATATTATAACAGACCAGGACATACTCTGGAGAAAGATCTACTGTCTATATTATATTATAACAGACCAGGACATACTCTGGAGAAAGATCTACTGTCTATATTATATTATAAACAGACCAGGACATACTCTGGAGAAAGATCTACTGTCTATATTATATTATAACAGACCAGGACATACTCTGGAGAAAGATCTACTGTCTATATTATATTATAACAGACCAGGACATACTCTGGAGAAAGATCTACTGTCTATATTATATTATAACAGACCAGGACATCTCTGGAGAAAGATCTACTGTCTATATTATATTATAACAGACCAGGACATACTCTGGAGAAAGATCTACTGTCTATATTATATTATAACAGACCAGGACATACTCTGGAGAAAGATCTACTGTCTATATTATATTATAACAGACCAGGACATACTCTGGAGAAAGATCTACTGTCTATATTATATTATAACAGACCAGGACATACTCTGGAGAAAGATCTACTGTCTATATTATATTATAACAGACCAGGACCATACTCTGGAGAAAGATCTACTGTCTATATTATATTATAACAGACCAGGACATACTCTGGAGAAAGATCTACTGTCTATATTATATTATAACAGACCAGGACATACTCTGGAGAAAGATCTACTGTCTATATTATATTATAACAGACCAGGACATATCTGGAGAAAGATCTACTGTCTATATTATATTATAACAGACCAGGACATACTCTGGAGAAAGATCTACTGTCTATATTATATTATAACAGACCAGGACATACTCTGGAGAAAGATCTACTGTCTATATTATATTATAACAGACCAGGACATACTCTGGAGAAAGATCTACTGTCTATATTATATTATAACAGACCAGGACATACTCTGGAGAAAGATCTACTGTCTATATTATATTATAACAGACCAGGACATACTCTGGAGAAAGATCTACTGTCTATATTATATTATACACAGACCAGGACATACTCTGGAGAAAGATCTACTGTCTATATTATATTATAACAGACCAGGACATACTCTGGAGAAAGATCTACTGTCTATATTATATTATAACAGACAGGACATACTCTGGAGAAAGATCTACTGTCTATATTATATTATACAGACCAGGACATACTCTGGAGAAAGATCTACTGTCTATATTATATATAACCAGACCAGGACATACTCTGGAGAAAGATCTACTGTCTATATTATATTATAACCAGACCAGGACATACTCTGGAGATATATCTACTGTCTATATTATATTATAACAGACCAGGACATACTCTGGAGAAAGATCTACTGTCTATATATATTATAACAGACCCAGGACATACTCTGGAGATAGATCTACTGTCTATATTATATTATAACAGACCAGGACATACTCTGGAGATAGATCTACTGTCTATATTATATTATAACAGACCAGGACATACTCTGGAGAAAGATCTACTGTCTATATTAATTATAACAGACCAGGACATACTCTGGAGAAAGATCTACTGTCTATATTATATTATAACAGACCAGGACATACTCTGGAGAAAGATCTACTGTCTATATTATATTATAACAGACCAGGACATACTCTGGAGAAATATCTACTGTCTATATTATATTATAACAGACCAGGACATACTCTGGAGAAAGATCTACTGTCTATATTATATTATAACAGACCAGGACATACTCTGGAGAAAGATCTACTGTCTATATTATATTATAACAGACCAGGACATACTCTGGAGAAAGATCTACTGTCTATATTATATTATAACAGACCAGGACATACTCTGGAGAAAGATCTACTGTCTATATTATATTATAACAGACCAGGACATACTCTGGAGATATATCTACTGTGTCTACCTTTTCTTCTAACAAAATGCAGATTTTCTCCTCAACAGGCAGTTCAAGAAATCCTGCAATTATTTCTTCAGATTCCAGGAGATGAATACACTACCAGTCAAAGGTTTGGACACACCTACTAATTCAAGGGTTTTTCTTTCTTTGTAAATGTCTTTACATTGTAGAATAATAGTGAATCAAATCACATCAAATCAAATTGTATTTGCCATATGCGCCGAATACAACAGGTGTAGACATTACAGTGAAATGCTTACTTACAAGCCCTTAACCAACAGTGCATTTATTTTGTAATAAAAAAGTACAATAAAAAACAACAAAAAGTGTTGAGAAAAAAAGAGCAGAAGTAAAATAAAATAACAGTAGGGAGGCTATATATACAGGGGGGTACCGGTGCAGAGTCCATGTGCGGGGGCACCGGCTAGTCGAGGTAATTGAGGTAATATGTACATGTGGGTAGAGTTAAAGTGACTATGCATAAATAATTAACAGAGTAGCAGCAGCGTAAAAAGATGGGGTGGGGGTGGGGGGGGCAGTGCAAATAGTCCGGGTAGGCATGATTAGCTGTTCATGAGTCTTATGGCTTGGGGGTAGAAGCTGTTGAGAAGCCTTTTGGACCTAGACTTGGCGCTCCGGTACCGCTTGCCGTGTGGTAGCAGAGAGAACAGTCTATGACTAGGGTGGCTGGAGTCTTTGACAATTTTGAAGACATCAAAACTATGAAATAACACATATGGAATCATGTAGTAACCAAAAAAGTGTTAAACAAATCAAAATATATGATATATTTGAGATTCTTCAAATAGCCACCCTTTGCCATGATGACAGCTTTGCAGACTCTTGGAATTCTTGGTAACATTGAAGTTTGTGATTAAATTGAATTTAGTTTTTGTCAATAATTAGTGTATGCACATGTATTTTGGTTAGTGATTTCTATTTGTTTGAATTTTGTTATTGATGGTTGAATGGCTGAATTTAGCGGGTGCTTTTGGGCCATTTGCTCTAAAGGGTGTTAGGTTAGTCCAGAATTTGGTGGCTTTTTTTTAAACATTTGGAATGGTAGGGGGAATCTCCCAAGTTCTGCCCTACAGGCTTGGTGTGGGGCATTTCTGTGCACACCTAGAATATTTTTTTTTACAAAATTCTAGATGTATAATTTCAGTGAGGCTTTTATCCCATGACATATACTTTAAATTGCAAAGGGGAGCCCACATTTCACTGCCATATAGAAGGATTTAATTTATGACAGAGTCAAATAATTTAAGCCAAATACTAATTGGATGGTTAAATTTGTACAATGTTTTTTCTACTTGCAAAATATGCTCTGTGTGCTTTATCTGTTAGAGACATAATCCATGCCCCTCTCTGCTATTAACTATCAAAAGCTGTATAGTAGAGAATCACAAATAAAGCATATCCTCCAGCACAATACCTCTCTTTCGTCAGCTATCCTCCCTCCTCTCTAACTCCAAAATCTCCTAATCTCTCCCTCTCTCTTTCTCTATCATCTCCCTATCCCTTTCCCTCCTTTTAGATCCCTGTCCACCCTCTTCTCTCCCCCCCCTCTTCTCTCCCTCCCCCTCTCTAACAACATCTTCACAGACCCCGCCCCTGGTAAGATCCTCAGGGGGTGAAGTATACAGTTATTCCATATGCATGGAAAGACTCTCTCTGTAAAGGTGTGTGTTATCGTGTGCAGATGTGTGTTATTATGAGGGTCAGAGAATGACAGCTTTTCCTCTGTCCCAGTCCAGCTGCACTCTGATCCTCTGGGGTTTCTGTCTCACTGTGAGGAGAGTGCCTGGCGGTATTGCTCTGTATTGACCTTCACGATAATATTTCATCCATGCATCACTACTCTTCTCTTCCTTCATCTGGGCAGACTCTGCTATGACACCCATGAACCGTTCTGTATTGTCCCCAACCTCCACGTCCCAGCTGTGTCCCTGAGTTAAACCCTCAGAGCCCAGGACCCATATCCAGTAATCAAAACCTCTCTGGGCTGTCAGGAAGCTGCTGTCTCACTCCACTGATTCTCAAACTGCTCAGATCCTCAGACAGGATGAATTGTGGGTGGGCAGTGTCGGGGTCCAGAATCACAGGAGCTGAACAGAGAGAACTAGAGATTAGAACTGGTCATGATGTCATGGCTGACCAGATAGAGGAGAGTAGACAATGCTTCAACCAACATGAGTCAAGGTGCATCCGTACGAGTCAAGGTGCAGCCGTACATGAGTCAAGCTGCAGCCGTACATGAGTCAAGGTGCAGCCGTACATGAGTCAAGGTGCATCCGTACGAGTCAAGGTGCAGCCGTACATGAGTTCCTTCTTATGGTCCTGAGCAGCCTCATCTATCGGACAGCAGTCATGACTCTTGTGCTTTTTGGATGTTTGACAAATCAGACAGACAGGCTGTTTATCCTCCAGACAGAAGAGCTTGATTTTCTCACCGTGCAGACTGCAGAGCATCTCAGACCCTGCCGAAGCTCTCTGACTCCTCTCCTGTACCTCAGACCCTGCTGAAGCTCTCTGACTCCTCTCCTGTACCTCAGACCCTGCTGAAGCTCTCTGACTCCTCTCCTGTACCTCAGACCCTGCCGAAGCTCTCTGACTCCTCTCCTGTACCTCAGACCCTGCTGAAGCTCTCTGACTCCTCTCCTGTACCTCAGACCCTGCTGAAGCTCTCTGACTCCTCTCCTGTACCTCAGACCCTGCCGAATCTCTCTGACTCCTCTCCTGTACCTCAGACCCTGCCGAAGCTCTCTGACTCCTCTCCTGTACCTCAGACCCTGCCGAATCTCTCTGACTCCTCTCCTGTACCTCAGACCCTGCTGAAGCTCTCTGACTCCTCTCCTGTACCTCAAACCCTGCCGAAGCTCTCTGACTCCTCTCCTGTACCTCAGACCCTGCTGAAGCTCTCTGACTCCTCTCCTGTACCTCCGACCCTGCTGAATCTCTCTGACTCCTCTCCTGTACCTCAGACCCTGCCGAAGCTCTCTGACTCCTCTCCTGTACCTCAGACCCTGCCGAAGCTCTCTGACTCCTCTCCTGTACCTCAGACCCTGCTGAAGCTCTCTGACTCCTCTCCTGTACCTCAGACCCTGCCGAAGCTCTCTGACTCCTCTCCTGTACCTCAGACCCTGCTGAAACTCTCTGACTCCTCTCCTGTACCTCAGACCCTACTGAAGCTCTCTGACTCCTCTCCTGTACCTCAGACCCTGCTGAATCTCTCTGACTCCTCTCCTGTACCTCAGACCCTGCTGAATCTCTCTGACTCCTCTCCTGTACCCCAGACCCTGCTGAAGCTCTCTGACTCCTCTCCTGTACCTCAGACCCTGCTGAATCTCTCTGACTCCTCTCCTGTACCCCAGACCCTGCTGAAGCTCTCTGACTCCTCTCCTGTACCTCAGACCCTGCTGAAGCTCTCTGACTCCTCTCCTGTACCTCAGACCCTGCTGAATCTCTCTGACTCCTCTCCTGTACCTCAGACCCTGCTGAATCTCTCTGACTCCTCTCCTGTACCTCAGACCCTGCTGAAGCTCTCTGACTCCTCTCCTGTACCTCAGACCCTGCTGAATCTCTCTGACTCCTCTCCTGTACCCCAGACCCTGCTGAAGCTCTCTGACTCCTCTCCTGTACCTCAGACCCTGCTGAATCTCTCTGACTCCTCTCCTGTACCTCAGTCCCTGCTGAAGCTCTCTGACTCCTCTCTGGTACCTCAGACCCTGCCGAAGCTCTCTGACTCCTCTCCTGTACCTCAGACCCTGCTGAATCTCTCTGACTCCTCTCCTGTACCTCAGTCCCAGCTGAAGCTCTCTGACTCCTCTCTGGTACCTCAGACCCTGCCGAAGCTCTCTGACTCCTCTCCTGTACCTCAGACCCTGCCGAAGCTCTCTGACTCCTCTCCTGTACCTCAGACCCTGCTGAATATCTCTGACTCCTCTCCTGTACCTCAGTCCCTGCTGAATCTCTCTGACTCGTCTCCTGTACCTCAGACCCTGCCGAAGCTCTCTGACTCCTCTCCTGTACCTCAGACCCCGCCGAAGCTCTTTGACTCCTCTCCTGTAAGAAAGTCTCACACAGGTTCTTTAAAACCAGGTCGCAGGGAGGATGTTCCATTGAGGACTTTTTTCTGCAGACTGGACATACCCGAGAATCCTTCTGTTTCCAGCATAGCTTCAGACAGGCTTTACAGAAGCTGTGGCCACACAACAGGAGGACAGGATCCTTAAAGATGTCACAGGACAATCCTCTACAATCCTCTTCATAGAGAGAAGGTTTAGACGACATGTTCTCTCCCAATCACACTCTCTCCTCTTATCTGGAGCGGCTTCTGAAATTAAGATTTACTGTTGAAAACTCACAGCGATAGAGTAAGTCAGAAGAACTTGGAAATCACAGATCTGATGTTGGTGTCTCTTGTTCTCTGATTGTCGTATTGAATCTTGGTTATTTTCAAAGATTATAAATTGTATGATGGTCCTTAGTTATATAATGTATGCTGATTAGCTGCATAGTTGTTACGGTGCTCTTTCTGTTGTGAACTTCTTCCTGATCAACAGGTAAGTCAACGTGAGGCGAGTAGCCATTTTATAGATGGAGCTATCTGAATGGTGGAGCTCACGTCTATCAGGACTCCTGAAACCAGCTGTGGATCCGGCAGTGTGGCCTTGTAGTTCAGCAGGACTGAGATGTCTTCTGGTCTCTGTCCTTTGTGGCCTTGTAGTTCAGCAGGACTGAGATGTCTTCTGGTCTCTGTCCTTTGTGGCCTTGTAGTTCAGCAGGACTGAGATGTCTTCTGGTCTCTGTCCTTTGTGGCCTTGTAGTTCAGCAGGACTGATATGTCTTCATCTCTCAGCTCATCCTCTATGGCTGTGATAGTATCTGGAAGTGATGACATCTCTCTGATCTTCTCATCAATCTTCTTCTTCATCATCTGACTCTTCTGCTCCTCTTCCTCCCTCGGTGCAGTTATCCTGGCCTCCTCTTCCTCTTGTAGAAACGGATGAAGCTTCTTAAACTCCTCCTTAATCTGCTTCTTTCACTCTTTAATTGTCCCAAGTCAAATTTCTCCCCGGGGAGGCGCAGTGGTCTAAGGCACTGCATCGCAGTGCTAGCTGTGCCACTAGAGATCCTGGTTCGAATCCAGGCTCTGTCGTAGCCGGCCGCGACCGGGAGACCCATGGGGCGGCGCACAATTGGCTCAGCGTCGTCCAGGGTAGGGGAGGGAATGACCGGCAGGGATGTAGCTCAGTTGGTAGAGCATGGCGTTTGCAACGCCAGGGTTGTGGGTTCGATTCCCATGGGGGGCCAGTATAAAAAATATTTAAAATAATGATGTATGCACTAACTGTAAGTCGCTCTGGATAAGAGCGTCTGCTAAATGACGTAAATGTAAATGTAAAATATCATGTGTGCTGGGCCTGGCCCTGGAGACAGGGATAAATAGGATACTACCAACATTATACTTCTCACCATCACAATCTTCATTTTTTATATATTTATTTGAAAGGAAATCATTTCTCTGTGACAGCCTTGGAAGGAGCAGTTGACTTCAGTCTTGTTTAAATCTCAGTGTTGACGGTTTCCGCCAGCTCTTCAGTAGTTGCTGTGAGTGTAAGGTGCCTGACGAGACGGGTGCTACAACACCCGAGAGCTCTGAATGTTACAGGGAGAGGGACTTTTCCTACCTCAACTTGCTCTGCAGAACAGCTGAATCAGAGGTGGGGCTTGAGTGTGCACGTACGTGCGTGGCGGGGGGGGGATATAAAGCAGAGACTGAGTAAATAGCATCTGGCTACTGTATATAAAGACAATAAAACTATGTAGAATTAAGGCCACTTACTGTATCCTGGTCCCAGATCTGTCTGTGCTGTCTTGCCAACTCCTATAGTCAGTGCTTGGTGTGCCAATGACCATAGGAAAGACAGTTGGCAAGACAGCACAGACAGATCTGGGACCAGGCTAAGTGGATTTAAACCTATTTATATTATTGTTATATAAACAGGTACGGTACTTGTACCAGGCTAACTTAAATTACCACTTCACCTGAAAAAAACCTCAGAAGGTATATCTTCCTCATCAGACTGTAGAGGGAAACAGCTCCATCAGATAGTGTAGAGGGAAGCAGCTCCATCAGACAATGTAGAGGGAAACAGCTCCATCAGACAGTGTACAGGGAAGCAGCTCCATCAGACAATGTAGAGGGAAGCAGCTCCATCAGACAGAGTAGAGGGAAGCAGCTCCATCAGATAGAGTGTAGAGGGAAGCAGCTCCATTAGACAGTGTAGAGGGAAGCAGCTCCATCAGATAGAGTGTAGAGGGAAGCAGCTCCACCAGACAGTGTAGAGGGAAGCAGCTCCATCAGACAGAGTGTAGAGGGAAGCAGCTCCATCAGATAGAGTGTAGAGGGAAACAGCTCCATCAGATAGTGTAGAGGGAAGCAGCTCCATCAGACAGAGTGTAGAGGGAAGCAGCTCCATCAGACAGAGTGTAGAGGGAAGCAGCTCCATCAGACAGAGTGTACAGGGAAGCAGCTCCATCAGACAGAGTGTAGAGGGAAGCAGCTCCATCAGACAGAGTGTACAGGGAAGCAGCTCCATCAGACAGAGTGTAGAGGGAAGCAGCTCCATCAGATAGACTGTAGAGGGAAGCAGCTCCATCAGACAGAGTGTACAGGGAAGCAGCTCCATCAGACAGAGTGTAGAGGGAAGCAGCTCCATCAGATAGAGTGTAGAGGGAAGCAGCTCCATCAGACAGAGTGTACAGGGAAGCAGCTCCATCAGACAGAGTGTAGAGGGAAGCAGCTCCATCAGATAGAGTGTAGAGGGAAGCAGCTCCATCAGACAGAGTGTAGAGGGAAGCAGCTCCATCAGACAGAGTGTACAGGGAAGCAGCTCCATCAGATAGACTGTAGAGGGAAGCAGCTCCATCAGACAGAGTGTACAGGGAAGCAGCTCCATCAGACAGAGTGTAGAGGGAAGCAGCTCCATCAGATAGAGTGTAGAGGGAAGCAGCTCCATCAGACAGAGTGTAGAGGGAAGCAGCTCCATCAGACAGAGTGTAGAGGGAAGCAGCTCCATCAGACACAGTGTAGAGGGAAGCAGCTCCATCAGACAGAGTGTAGAGGGAAGCAGCTCCATCAGACACAGTGTAGAGGGAAGCAGCTCCATCAGATAGAGTGTACAGGGAAGCAGCTCCATCAGATAGAGTGTAGAGGGAAACAGCTCCATCAGACAGAGTGTAGAGGGAAGCAGCTCCACCAGACACAGTGTAGAGGGAAGCAGCTCTACTGTTTGTTTGTATAGAGGATCCTCAAACACAGTAATCCAACATCTCTTTGTGTAGAGAGGCTCCAGGTACTGACATACTATCTGTGTCCCCAATGGCGCCCTATTCCCTATATATTGCACTAAGGAATAGGGTGCCATTTAGGACGTGGCCACAGAGACTTTATAAACATCTCCAGCAGTCGTACTGCCTGCACAAATACACAGTATTTCTCTCTCTCCCCCTCACTCTCTATAGCTGTGGGGGCTGGATGAGGCAGTGAGTGAATCTGGGGGTCACTGAGTGTCTGATTCATCCAGGCTATTCACATCTGTTTAAATACTATTTCTACTGGGGTTGATCATACAGAAGAAGTGTGTTGGATTCAGGATCGAAAGACAGAGCAGCCTATAATTTAATGCATCAGACTTCTTTCAGTTTTAAATCAATGAGTCACCGTGGTAACGATAATGACATGGGCTGTGTCTCTAATGGCATCCCTATTCCCTACACAGTGCACTCGTTTTGACCAGGCCCCTGGGGTGCAATTTCAGACGAACTCATCGGCTCAGATGAGATCCGTCCGTGATTAAAAACACCGTGCCACTTCAGTCTCCACAACCGGCCTCTTTCATACTGCCCATATTTATGCAAAGTGCTCCTCTGTGCTTTTTGGAGAGGTGAAAAAGCCCTTTTTCTGAAAGCTTTGGTGTTATATAAAAGGGAAACGAAGTGTTGAAGATACTTGTGGTGGTTAAATATTAGGACGATGTTCCTGGAATATCAATGTATTTTCTTTCTCTTCCGCTGTATGGGGAGATGGATCAAAACCTGCCATATGCTACACTGGTATACATAGCTGCCTGTGTTCAGAACCTGCAGCAATGCAATGGGTTTAAATCTCAGAATTACAGCATCCGTAAATCAAGATATTAGCTTTCGTCTGGAATACACAAAATGGGTCTGTGGTGTTTCACATTGACTATAATATTGCTTTGATACAGGACGTGAGAGGAATGGGAATAGTGGTGTGAATTATTTTGCTTAAGTGATCTTTAAAAAGTCACCAAGGCAGAATGTCACTCAAAAACTGGCAGAAAAATAGTAATATAGGAAAAACAGTTGAGGAAAAATTAGTATTAAAATGTCAAATATAAAATGGTTGACTGATCCAATGGCGTTTTAAATGGCACACATAGGCCTCATCCCAAATGGTAGTACTTTGGACCAGGCTCCATAGGGTTCTGGCCAGAACAAGTGGACCAGGCTCCATAGGGTTCTGGCCAGAACAAGTGGACCAGGCTCCATAGGGTTCTGGCCAGAACAAGTGGACCAGGCTCCATAGGGTTCTGGCCAGAACAAGTGGACCAGGCTCCATAGGGTTCTGGCCAGAACAAGTGGACCAGGCTCCATAGGGTTCTGGCCAGAACAAGTGGACCAGGCTCCATAGGGTTCTGGCCAGAACAAGTGGACCAGGCTCCATAGGGTTCTGGCCAGAACAAGTGGACCAGGCTCCATAGGGTTCTGGCCAGAACAAGTGGACCAGGCTCCATAGGGTTCTGGCCAGAACAAGTGGACCAGGCTCCATAGGGTTCTGGCCAGAACAAGTGAACTTTAGGGAATATGCTGCCATTTTGGATAAAGACATATAATCCACCCAAGTGAATAAAAAAAAAGATACATTATAAAGAGAGGACCAACAGACAAGACAATAAGCAAACACCATTGGTTTAATACAGTTTAATGACTCTTTTCAACAATTATTGCATTGGGATACAACATAATCTTGTTCACCTGACAATGCTATGGGGGACGAGGTTAGGACACAACCACAAAACCACAGCAGAGATCCTCGTGAAGGCAGACTAGTGACGCAGGCTGAGTCCCAACTGACACACTATTCCCTTTATAGTGCACTACTTTTGACCAGGGCTCTATGGAACCGGGTCAAAAAGTAGTGCACTATAAAGGGAATAGGGTGTCATTTGGTTTACAGTAGGCAACAGTCTTCATGTAATAACCACTACATCTAACTAATACTTTTCAGTTATCCTCTGGTAAATACTACTCATTGATCCTTCATGTTTGATGCTACATGACCTTAACCCCACCCACACAGTCAGAATCCCAAAGCAACACCCTAGTCCCCGTTTGGTGCACTACTTTTGATCAGGGCCCCAAAAGGGGGGGGGGGCTGGTGAAAAGTAGTGCACTACAAGGAATAGGGTGCCATTTGGGAGGTAACATACAGGTACTCAGTGAGCATGAACAATCTTAGTCTTTTCCTAAATAGAATAGTCTTTTAGCCTTAGAATTGCTGACAGTATGGACCTTTGCAGATAACGTTAAACAATATATATATATATATATATATATATATATATATATATATATATATATATATATATATATATATATATATATATACACATACAGTGGGGAGAACAAGTATTTGATACACTGCCGATTTTGCAGGTTGTCCTACTTACAAAGCATGTAGAGGTCTGTAATATTTATCATAGGTACACCTCAACTGTGAGAGACAGAATCTAAAACAAAAATCCAGAAAATCACATTGTCTGATTTTTAAGTAATTAATTTGAATTGTATTGCATGACATAAGTATTTGATCACCTACCAACCAGTATGAATTCCGGCTCTCACAGACCTATTAGTTTTTCTTTAAGAAGCCCTCCTGTTCTCCACTCATTACCTGTATTAACTGCACCTGTTTGAACTCGTTACCTGTATAAAAGACACCTGTCCACACACTCAATCAAACAGACTCCAACCTCTCCACAATGGCCAAGACCAGAGAGCTGTGTAAGGACATCAGGGATAAAATTGTAGACCTGCACAAGGCTGGGATGGGCTACAGGACAATAGGCAAGCAGCTTGGTGAGAAGGCAACAACTGTTGGCGCAATTATTAGAAAATGGAAGAAGTTCAAGATGACGGTCAATCACCCTCGGTCTGGGGCTCCATGCAAGATCTCACCTCGTGGGGCATCAATGATCATGAGGAAGGTGAGGGATCAGCCCAGAACTACATGGCAGGACCTGGTCAATGACCTGAAGAGAGCTGGGACCACAGTCTCAAAGAAAACCATTAGTAACACACTACGCCGTCATGGATTAAAATCCTGCAGCGCACGCAAGGTCCCCCTGCTCAAGCCAGCGCATGTCCAGGCCCGTCTGAAGTTTGCCAATGACCATCTGGATGATCCAGAGGAGGAATGGGAGAAGGTCATGTGGTCTGATGAGACAAAAATAGAGCTTTTTGGTCTAAACTCCACTCGCCGTTTTTGGAGGAAGAAGAAGGATGAGTACAACCCCAAGAACACCATCCCAACCGTGAAGCATGGAGGTGGAAACATCATTCTTTGGGGATGCTTTTCTGCAAAGGGGACAGGACGACTGCACCGTATTGAGGGGAGGATGGATGGGGTCATGTATCGTGAGATCTTGGCCAACAACCTCCTTCCCTCAGTAAGAGCATTGAAGATGGGTCGTGGATTGGTCTTCCAGCATGACAACGACCCAAAACACACAGCCAGGGCAAGTAAGGAGTGGCTCCGTAAGAAGCATCTCAAGGTCCTGGAGTGGCCTAGCCAGTCTCCAGACTTGAACCCAATAGAACATCTTTAGAGGGAGCTGAAAGTCCGTATTGTCCAGCGACAGCCCCGAAACCTGAAGGATCTGGAGAAGGTCTGTATGGAGGAGTGGGCCAAAATCCCTGCTGCAGTGTGTGCAAACCTGGTCAAGACCTACAGGAAACGTATGATCTCTGTAATTGCAAACAAAGGTTTCTGTACCAAATATTAAGTTCTGCTTTTCTGATGTATCAAATACTTATGTCATGCAATAAAATGCAAATTAATTACTTAAAAATCATACAATGTGATTTTCTGGATTTTTGTTTTAGATTCCGTCTCTCACAGTTGAAGTGTACCTATGATCAAAATTACAGACCTCTACATGCTTTGTAAGTAGGAAAACCTGCAAAATCGGCAGTGTATCAAATACTTGTTCTCTCCACTGTATATATATATATATATATCACTGAAATCAAAGCTCCATTTCTGTCAGGGGTAAAAGCAACTAAATACAGTATAAGGGATAGACAAGAGGGGAAGTAAGCTGTGCAGAACGGACAATGGTTTAAGAATACGGACGGCCCGTTTCCTGTCTTTTAGCAGGATCCAGTACTGTTACTTAGTCTTCTTTGCCACTCTACCTCTCTAATAATGGTTGTATGTCGATTGGCGTGTCCATTCCAGAAGCCTGCATAACTCAAACACATCACACCAGACAGGCTATCGGCTGCCTGAACTCAAACACATCACACCAGACAGGCTATCGGCTGCCTGTATTCAGTGCTCTTATTACGTGGCTTTAGCTGCAAATGACTGACACAAACAAGTATATATAAACAGGTAAAATGCATGATCCCTAGCTGCTTTGATAAAAGACCCGTCACACCACAGAAGTATTACAAACCCACTAAAGCCAGGTTAAGTCAACAAAATTATATATTATTAAAGATAGCTTATTTCGATGTAAATACAATTTCAACAAAAGCATCAATAGATCCACAATGATGAAGCAAAACACGATGACGTCCACAGTGATCTCCTGGGTTTGTTTCCCAAATGGCACCCTATTCCTTTATATATAGTGCACTACTTTTGACCCTATTCCCTATGGGCCCCTGGTCAAAAGTAGTGCACTACATAGGGAATAGGGTGCCATTTGGGACACAGAGGACATGGTTCTAATGCAGCGCTGGTAACCCATCTCTTTTTCTGTCCTGTTCCTTTTAAATAGACAAACACTTTCAAAACATTGTTGGCATTTAAATACAAAATCATAAGCATTAAATTGTGCGTGCTATATTTGTATATAAATTGCACACAAATCCAAAAAACTATATATATTTCAAATCATCTCTTTACAAGCCTGTGCATCCTGGAATCAGTGGAAAAGGTAGTACTATTGCTAACTGCATTAGCATTACTGTACCACAAGTAATGCTTTATGTTAGCATTACTGTACCACAAGTAATGCTTTATGTTAGCATTACTGTACCACAAGTAATGCGTTATGTTAGCATGTTAGCATTACTGTACCACAAGTAATGCTTTATGTTAGCATATTAGCATTACCATACCACAGTTCCTTTTCAAGTGTTGCAGTTTTCATACCAAGGCTTGGTAAACTAGCGGTGGGTGGATGGACTCAAAATATCAATGATACATACTGTGTAAGTGGCAGAATTACAGGAACTTTCCCAAAATGTCCAGGTTTTCCAGAATTCCTGGTTGGAGGATTCCGGATTTCCTGCTTATTCTTCTCTGATTCCTGAAATCTTCCGACCTGGGAATTTTGGGAATATTACCGGAATTCTGCAACCCTAATCCTGTGTTATATCATATTAGTGTAACATATAACGCCCTATTCAGCAAGGCCGACTTGGTTATAGTGGGAAACTTCCTTCTACACCATGCTGCGTTACAGCTGATGTTAATACGGTCATCTATGATCATCGATGGTTAGCTACTAACTATTGTTAAAGGTGTATGAAAAATGTAGGAACCCACAAAAGGTAAATGGAGAAGGGGGAGGGAGGGGGGGAGAGAGGGTGGCAGGGAGGGGAGGGGGCAGACAGGGAGGGAGGGGGGGGAGGGAGGGGGCAGAGAGGGGAGGGAGGGGGGGAGAGGGAGAGAGAGAGGAGAGGGAGGGAGGGAGGGAGGGGAGAGAGGGGAGGAGAGAGAGGGAGGGAGGGGAGAGAGGGAGAGAGAGAGGGAGGGAGGGAGGGAGGGGGGAGAGGGAGAGAGAGAGAGAGGGAGGGAGGGAGGGAGGGAGGGAGGGGAGGGAGGGAGGGAGGGAGGGAGGGAGGGAGGGAGGGAGGGAGGATGCATTAGTTGGCGTGTGGTTGGTTGACACTGAAAAAACGGACAGTGATTGGCTGATAACAGTGAGGTTGGCACTAGCTGGGCTGGCATCTGAATCTGACGCCCGTCTGTTTCTGCTGGTAGCGAGCGTCAGTCGTAGTGCTCTAATAACGGATCAGAGCTGTCCTGCAGGGGATGTACACCTGGTGGAGAGAGAGAAAAAAGAGGTAGAGGGGAGGGGGATGGAGAGGGGAGGGGGATGGATAGGGGAGGGGGAGAGGTAGAGGGGAGGGGGATGGAGAGGGGAGGGGGAGAGGTAGAGGGGAGGGGGAGAGGTAGAGGGGAGGGGGAGAGGTAGAGGGGAGGGGGATGGAGAGGGGAGGGGGAGAGGTAGAGGGGAGAGGTAGAGGTAGAGGGGAGGGGAATGGAGAGGGGAGGGGGATGGAGAGGGGATGGAGAGGGGAGGGGGAGATGGAGAGGGGAGGGGGAGAAGTAGAGGGGAGGGGGAGAGGTGGAGGGGAGGGGGATGGGGAGGGGAGGGGGAGATGGAGAGGGGAGGGGGAGAAGTAGAGGGGAGGGGGATGGAGATGGGAGGGGGAGAAGAGAGAGGAGACACTTTTATAAGAAAATAAACTGCAGGTTAAATATTCCTAAAACATCATGAGATGGCCCTGTAGAGTGCTTCCCTAATGGCACCCTATTCCCTACATAGTGCACAGGGCTCTGGTCAAAAGTAGTACACTATATGAGAAATAGGGTGTCATTTGGAACGCAGCCATAGACTATTTCTGAAGATGATTGCATATTCCAGAGACATACCAGTGAGGGAAAAAAGTATTTGATCCCCTGCTGATTTTGTACGTTTTCCCACTGACAAAGAAATTATCAGTCTATAATTTTAATGGTAGGTTTATTTGAACAGTGAGAGACAGAATAACAACAAAAAAATCCAGAAAAACGCATGTCAAAAATGTTATAAATTGATTTGCATTTTAATGAGGGAAATAAGTATTTGACCCCCTCTCAATCAGAAAGATTTCTGGCTCCCAGGTGTCTTTTATACAGGTAACGAGCTGAGATTAGGAGCACACTCTTAAAGGGAGTGCTCCTAATCTCAGTTTGTTACCTGTATAAAAGACACCTGTCCACAGAAGCAATCAATCAATCAATCAGATTCCAAACTCTCCACGATGGCCAAGACCAAAGAGCTCTCCAACGATGTCAGGGACAAGATTGTAGACCTACACAAGGCTGGAATGGGCTACAAGACCATCGCAAAGCAGCTTGGTGAGAAGGTGACAACAGTTGGTGTGATTATTCGCAAATGGAAGAAACACAAAAGAACTGTCAATCTCCCTCGGCCTGGGGCTCCATGCAAGATCTCACCTCAAGAAAACAATTGGTAACACACTACGCCATGAAGGACTGAAATCCTGCAGTGCCCGCAAGGTCCCCCTGCTCATGAAAGCACATATATAGGCCCGTCTGAAGTTTGCCAATTAACATCTGAATGATTCAGAGGAGAACTGGGTGAAAGTGTTGTGGTCAGATGAGACCAAAATCGAGCTCTTTGGCATCAACTCAACTCGCCGTGTTTGGAGGAGGAGGAATGCTGCCTATGACCCCAAGAACACCATCCTCACCGTCAAACATGGAGGTGAAAACATTATGCTTTGGGGGTGTTTTTCTGCTAAGGGGACAGGACAACTTCACCGCATCAAAGGGACGATGGACGGGGCCATATACCGTCAAATCTTGGATGAGAACCTCCTTCCCTCAGCCAGGGCATTGAAAATGGGTCGTGGATGGGTATTCCAGCATGACAATGACCCAAAACACACGGCCAAGGCAACAAAGGAGTGGCTCAAGAAGAAGCACATTAAGGTCCTGGAGTGGCCTAGCCAGTCTCCAGAACTTAATCCCATAGAAAATCTGTGGAGGGAGCTGAAGATTCGAGTTGCCAAACGTCAGCCTCGAAACCTTAATGACTTGGAGAAGATCTGCAAAGACGAGTGGAACAAAATCCCAGACAGCAGCAGTCATACTGAACCAGTCAGCAGCAGTCATACTGAACCAGTCAGCAGCAGTCATACTGAACCAGTCAGCAGCAGTCATACTGAACCAGTCAGCAGCAGTCATACTGAACCAGTCAGGCTCCAGTCAGCAGCAGTCATACTGAACCAGTCAGCAGCAGTCATACTGAACAGTCAGCAGCAGTCATACTGAACCAGTCAGCAGCAGTCATACTGAACCAGTCAGCAGCAGTCATACTGAACCAGACAGCAGCAGTCATACTGAACCAGTCAGCAGCAGTCATACTGAACCAGTCAGCAGCAGTCATACTGAACCAGTCAGCAGCAGTCATACTGAACCAGACAGCAGCAGTCATACTGAACCAGTCAGCAGCAGTCATACTGAACCAGTCAGCAGCAGTCATACTGAACCAGTCAGCAGCAGTCATACTGAACCAGTCAGCAGCAGTCATACTGAACCAGTCAGCAGCAGTCATACTGAACCAGACAGCAGCAGTCATACTGAACCAGTCAGCAGCAGTCATACTGAACCAGTCAGCAGCAGTCATACTGAACCAGCAGCAGCAGTCATACTGAACCAGACAGCAGCAGTCATACTGAACCAGACAGCAGCAGTCATACTGAACCAGCAGTCATATGAACCAGTCAGCAGCATTCATTTACTGAACCAGTCCGCAGCAGTCATTACTGGAACCAGAAGCAGCAGTCATACTGAACCAGTCAGCAGCAGTCATTGAACCAGTCAACAGCAAGTCATACTGAACCAGACAGCAGCAGTCATACTGAACCAGTCAACAGCATTCATACTGAAACCAGTCAACCAGCAGCAGTCAATCCTGAACCAGTCAGCAGCCAGTCATACTGAACCAGACAGCAGCAGTCACATACTGAACCCGTTCAACAGCAGTTCATTACTGAACCAGACAGCAGCAGTCATACTGAACCCAGACAGCAAGCAGTCATACTGAAACCAGTCAGCCAGCAGTCATACTGAAACCAGACAGCAGCAGTCCTTACTGAACGTCAAAACAAGCAGCCGTCATACCTGAACCAGTAACAGCCAGGTCATACTGAAACCAGTCAGCAGCAGTCATACTGGAAACCAGGTCAACAGCAGTCATACTGACAACCGGTCAGCAGCAAGTCATACTGAACCAGTCAGCAGCAGTCATACTGAACCAGACAGCAGCAGTCATACTGAACCAGACAGCAGCAGTCATACTGAACCAGACAGCAGCAGTCATACTGAACCAGACAGCAGCAGTCATACTGAACCAGTCAGCAGCAGTCATACTGAACCAGTCAGCAGCAGTCATACTGAACCAGTCAGCAGCAGTCATACTGAACCAGTCAGCAGCAGTCATACTGAACCAGACAGCAGCAGTCATACTGAACCAGTCAGCAGCAGTCATACTGAACCAGTCAGCAGCAGTCATACTGAACCAGTCAGCAGCAGTCATACTGAACCAGTCAGCAGCAGTCATACTGAACCAGTCAGCAGCAGTCATACTGAACCAGTCAGCAGCAGTCATACTGAACCAGACAGCAGCAGTCATACTGAACCAGACAGCAGCAGTCATACTGAACCAGACAGCAGCAGTCATACTGAACCAGTCAACAACAGCAGCATAATAGATAGATGTAAGACAGGTTTGAAATGATTATGTTTTAGTCAGATATTATATCTATTTGGGCTTCTTGCGGTCAATTTGAAGTTGACAAATTATTTGTAATTATGTTCCGGTCTCCTGACCATCCGCTCAAGAAAAAATTGTCCCCACGGCTGAATCTAGTTGATAATCCCTGGACTAAAGACTAAAGAGCCCTAAACTATGGCTGCAGAATGATTCTCTATCCGTCTGTCTTTCTCCCAGGAGTGAGTCCTCGGTCACTCTTCCTGATGGAAACCTCAGATCAAACTTTTTGTCGATTTTTGAGTTTGAACACATTTAAAGTAGGGATTCCCATCCATGTTTTGGGCAAGTTTAATGACTCTAGAAATTCAGATTTTTCATTGTTACGTGAAATTATTACATAGCATTATATCTGAAAATAAATTGCTTTACTGTAGTTGAAAGTTCTTGGTTATTGATTTGATCTATTTCACACATCCTCCTATTCTCCGGTACCCCGGGTAGCTACAATTAAATTATGTACAACATCAGATTCTTTACAAACCTACTATTGCATCATTAAACTGCTGAAACTTTTGCCTGGAGTGAAAACGCTAGTTCTTTGAATTTTGAAAAATGTTCCTCTTCAAATCAAGTCAATAATACATGTAAAGCATATTGACAAGCTGTGCCTTGTTTCTATATATTGAACATAGCCAACATGAAACATTGATATTGAACATAGCCAACATGAAACATTGATATTGAACATAGCCAACATGAAACATTGATATTGAACATAGCCAAAATCAAACATTGATATTGAACATAGCCAATACAAGAAGAAGCATTTCAAGGTCCTGGAGTGGCCTAGCCAGTCTCCAGATCTCAACCCCATAGAAAATCTTTGGAGGGAGTTGAAAGTCTGTGTTGCCCAGCGACAGCCCCAAAACATCACTGCTCTAGAGGAGATCTGCATGGAGGAATGGGCTAAAATACCAGCAACAGTGTGTGAAAACCTTGTGAAGACTTACAGAAAACGTTTGACCTGTGTCATTGCCAACAAAGGGTATATAACAAAGTATTGAGAAACTTTTGTTATTGACCAAATACTTATTTTCCACCATAATTTGCAAATAAATTCATTAAAAATCCTACAATGTGATTTTCAGGATTTTTTTTTCTCATTTTGTCTGTCATAGTTGACGTGTACCTATGATGAAAATTACAGGCCTCTCTCATCTTTTTAAGTGGGAGAACTTGCACAATTGGTGGCTGACTAAATACTTTTTCCCCCACTGTATCTACCCTTTCCATTCTATCGCCCTCTGAGAATATCTACCCTTTCCATTCTATAACCCTCTGAGAATATCTATCCTTTCCATTCTATTACCCTCTGAGAATATCTACCCTTTCCATTCTATAACCCTCTGAGAATATCTACCCTTTCCATTCTATAACCCTCTGAGAATATCTACCCTTTCCATTCTATTGCCCTCTGAGAATATCTACCCTTTCCATTCTATAACCCTCTGAGAATATCTACCCTTTCCATTCTATAACCCTCTGAGAATATCGACCCTTTCCATTCTATTGCCCTCTGAGAATATCTACCCTTTCCATTCTATAACCCTCTGAGAATATCTACCCTTTCCATTCTATTACCCTCTGAGAATATCTACCCTTTCCATTCTATTGCCCTCTGAGAATATCTACCCTTTCCATTCTATTGCCCTCTGAGAATATCTACCCTTTCCATTCTATAACCCTCTGAGAATATCTACCCTTTCCATTCTATAACCCTCTGAGAATATCTACCCTTTCCATTCTATTGCCCTCTGAGAATATCTACCCTTTCCATTCTATTGCCCTCTGAGAATAACAGGTGCTAATGCTTGGTATGCAGCAGCTAGAAGATCAGTCTCTAGTTGTTCCCGAGTAAACATTACTACACATTAAAAAATAGCTTTCTAACAAGTGGATGAATAGAACTGCTGGATCTCAAATCAAGTGTAGCAGATAGTTCTGGATCATTTCTTTGTCCAACTTTAAAACCCGTGAGACATCGCCTTGCTCTGACAGCTGTGTGAGGCGTATCTGTAGTTTGTGGTGTGTGAGTGGATCAGAATTAAGATCAAGCTTTACCAGATGCATGCATTTCTAAACCACTATCCAAAGGCATCCTCCATCCATTTACACAAAATCACAAGACAATCGTATTTCAATTTGCCCACATCACAGAGAGACAAAACCAGGACTCATGGAACTGTTGTAACTAAAACAGGCAGGCACACTTTAGTGCTACAGTGCAGTGAATCCCAAATGGTACCCTATTCTCTTTATAGTGCACTACTAGCCTATGGGACCCGGTCAAAAGTAGTGCACTACGTAGGGAATAGGGTGCCATTTGAGACGCAAAATTCACTTCAGATGTATGTTGGAGGAGCAGAAATTACCCAGACATAAAACATAGCATCTTCTTCCAAGCAGAGAACTGTAGATTGAAACTGTGTGCAGAGCTGTAAACAATTCAGTCACCCTCTGAACTCTTTCTGCATCACACTCACACACTCACACTGTGCTGTGCTCTGCTTCCATGGTGCCAGCCCATCCTGCTGCATCAGTGGCGCTGAGTCTTACTGACTGGGGACAGCTTGGCACAATAGGAGCAGAGCAGAGCAGAGCACAGCACAGAACACACAACCCCACGCTGCTGAAACACAGAACACACAACCCCACGCTGCTGAAACACAGAACACACAACCCCACGCTGCTGAAACACAGAACACACAACCCCACGCTGCTGAAAAACAGAACACACAACCCCACGCTGCTGAAACACAGAACACACAACCCCACGCTGCTGAAACACAGAACACACAACCCCACGCTGCTGAAACACAGAACACACAACCCCACGCTGCTGAAACACAGAACACACAACCCCCACGCTGCTGAAAAACAGAACACACAACCCCACGCTGCTGAAACACAGAACACACAACCCCACGCTGCTGAAACACAGAACACACAACCCCACGCTGCTGAAAACACACAGAACACACAACCCCACGCTGCTGAAACACAGAACACACAACCCCACGCTGCTGAAACACAGAACACACAACCCCACGCTGCTGAACACAGAACACACAACCCCACGCTGCTGAAACACAGAAACACACAACCCCACGCTGCTGAAACACAGAACACACAACCCCACGCTGCTGAAACACAGAACACACAACCCCACGCTGCTGAAACACAGAACACACAACCCCACGCTGCTGAAACACAGAACACACAACCCCACGCTGCTGAAACACAGAACACACAACCCCACGCTGCTGAAACACAGAACACACAACCCCACGCTGCTGAAACACAGAACACACAACCCCACGCTGCTGAAACACAGAACACACAACCCCACGCTGCTGAAACACAGAACACACAACCCCACGCTGCTGAAACACAGAACACACAACCCCACGCTGCTGAAACACAGAACACACAACCCCACGCTGCTGAAACACAGAACACACAACCCCACGCTGCTGAAACACAGAACACACAACCCCACGCTGCTGAAACACAGAACACACAAACCCCACGCTGCTGAAACACAGAACACACAACCCCACGCTGCTGAAACACAGAACACACAACCCCACGCTGCTGAAACACAGAACACACAACCCCACGCTGCTGAAACACAGAACACACAACCCCACGCTGCTGAAACACAGAACACACAACCCCACGCTGCTGAAACACAGAACACACAACCCCACGCTGCTGAAACACAGAACACACAACCCCACGCTGCTGAAACACAGAACACACAACCCCACGCTGCTGAAACACAGAACACACAACCCCACGCTGCTGAAACACAGAACACACAACCCCACGCTGCTGAAACACAGTGGGGAGAACAAGTATTCGATACACTGCCGATTTTGAAGGTTTTCCTACTTACAAAGCATGTAGAGGTCTGTAATTTTTTATCATAGGTACACTTCAACTGTGAGAGACGGAATCTAAAACAAAAATCCAGAAAATCACATTGTATGATTTTTAAGTAATTAATTTGCACAGTTGAAGTGTACCTATGATAAAAAATTACAGACCTCTACATGCTTTGTAAGTAGGAAAACCTGCAAAATCGGCAGTGTATCAAATACTTGTTCTCCCCACTGTATATACATACATACATATCCTATAAAAATATATATATTTCCCTTTATTACTTTCCAACCCCACCATCCCTTCCCTAATTGGAGTAAACTAGTGAACAACAATGCTTAGGCCTCTACTTCCAGCTTATACATACTATATACATTTTATGGACACAGTCAATAATTATATTTTGTGTGTTTTTACTCCTGAACTTCCTCCGATCATTTTCATGATGTCCATCTGGTATGCTTCTATATGCCATATCTTTCTAACTGTGCTCTTTCACAAAAGCTCACAATATATAACCTATATACTTATTATGGACACAGCATGCTTTACACAGCATGCAGTTGTTATTAGTCCCATCCTTCAGCTCCATTCAACACCTCCCATCTATCTCTTAACACCATCCATACTGGATTTCTATTTGCCATATATATTTCAACTGTACTGTGATGTTTTACAAAAGTTCTGAACCGTTCTACTCTCATTGTTTCTACAGATTGTAAATTGAAAATAAACATTTTTGCTAAAAGTATTATTATATTATTGATCGTTTGACTATGACTTTTCAGATCACCCAGTAATGCCATCTGCAGGGTTAGTACCAGGTAAATATTGCAATCCTTCAGCCATTCCTGGACCTGTGTCCAGAAACAAGCTACAAATGGACAGAACCAAAACAAATGATCTAATGATTCTGTCTCTTCACAGCCAAATCTGCAGAGCTGGGAAGATTGTATCCCCCATACAAATAACAT